TATATATATACGGTCGTACTGTGTAGTGAAGAACATTAGAATTTGAAGTATAGTAAATTCCTAACTATAGGAATGTGTCGCCACTTACAAGTGTGGAGGTTGGTTTCCATAAGTCCAAGAAATTATGGAACTTAAAAAAATGTCAGTCACCTACTCGTATAATCTTCAGCTTCCTTCTCGACTCTAATCTAAATAGTTTTAATGAACTATTTGATACTTCTCTTTAAACAATTCTCAGGCATTTGTGTCGGTGTGCGTCAAAGTGTGTGTTTGTTTGTCTCTGAGTGTGTATGTGTGTGTGTGTGTGTGTGTGTGTGTGTGTGTGTGTGTGTGTGTGAGAGTGAGTGTGCGTGTGTGCATGTGTGTGTGTTGTGTAAGTTAGATTACGTGCTCATCTCTTTTCCTCTCTCTCCACCCCTATTTTTTACTCCCTTGAGGCTGTTTACTTTTTTTCTCTTTAGGTATCTCTATCTTTTTCGCTTTGTCTCTCTGCACAAAAAATATTTGCAACAGCCACTATAAATTAGAAAAAAATCCAAGTATTTTTTCAACCCATCGAACAGTGTTTTGGACAAAACCCCGAGAGAACACAACTAAATACTTTACTGTTGAAAGGCGATAGATCTATCCTCTTTTTGCTTCCACTTTGTCAATAACTGTCAACTTTTTTACTTTCTTCACAGCTGAAATAAAGCAGAACTGACAGCCTAGAAACATTAATCAGCTGTCAGATAAAATTCTCCCGCAAATGTCAGAGATGTCTGTACTTTTTGCGTTTTATTGCGTAATATATCTACTTTTTTCTTTCTAATTTCCCGGAACTATTGATAGTATGAAAGCACCCCGACAGAAAAAAGAAGCTTTATGATTCTACATAATGGAAGATCCAATGAAATAAATTTGTACGATAAAAAATAGATTTTTCCAAAGTCTTTATTTGTTTCGTTCTCATTGCCCTTAATTCCTGTTCGCCAGACGAGATTCTTCCAGCTATATAAGTTATGGTCAAAATCCCGAAAAATGAAGACATTTCTGGTGTTCTGGCAGCGATTGAAGTCAGTCCCTAAAGACCAATAAAACTTTCCGTTTCTACATTACTTTCTTTTCCGTCTCCCAGTTTCCTTCAGTAATCTGTCTCTCGTTCTATTCCAGTTTTTTTTAATCTTTCGTTTCCTTTCTATTTTGAAATTAAAGTGGCTGTGAAAAAGCGTTCTTGCACTAAACAACGGCGTCTTGACAGTTTTACTGCAATGCTACCGTGACGCAAAGACGTATGGGCACATATGGAAGTGACATACCTGCTCTCTGTTCGCTGGAATCTCTTTTAATCTTTTCCTTAGAGGATAAGTCGCGAATTCGGAATCTTAATCATCATCATCATCATCATCATCATCATCATCATCGGCGGCAGCATCATCATCATCAGCAGCAGCAGCAGCAGCAAGTGTCTAAGACACTGGTGGTCATAGTCTCTCTTTTATTTGAGGACGTCGTGAATGAGTTGTTGCTTGAGGGATTCTAAATCGGAGACAAAACTCGAAATGTATGTAAAACAAACTCTATGAACAGAGGTCTTGAAAGTAAATCCTTCTTATATATTTATACTCTTATATATGAGGAGTCCACTGAAAAAACGGGCATAGTCACAAACTGAAAAGAGTGAGAGTATCAATTTTGAACACTTGTTGACTCATAAATGTATTTCTGTTCAGCTGTTGGTTGATTATTGTTATTAGATTTCCCCTCCAACAAACATATAAAATAAACCACCAATCAAACAAATATGAAGTTAGGAGTCCACAAGCTTTTAAAATTCACACCCTCACAATTTCCAGTTTGTGACTATGCCTGTTTTCTCAGTGGACTCCTCATATCCTAAATGTGATGTGCATATTATCAGTATCAATTGTGCTGTGATAGTATGGATGTATGGTCATGTGTAGCGTCATTATAAAGAGCTTATGCACGTGCGTCGATGTATACTTTGTATTAAGATAAAGGTATTGTAAAGTGCTTAGAGCTCTATTCTACATGATTGTGCGCTAAAGAAATGATGTGCCTTATTAGTATTATTATTATTATTAT